CACTGATTGGTCGAGGACTGCGTCATATCTCGCGTTAATCACCTAGCGCGAGGTGACTGTAGCAGGAGCGCTAAATTTCAAAATAGCTGTCTCGAGTATTGTCAGTGTTACCTAGGAAGTGATGAACTAGATACAAAATTCAATTCCGAATCAAATTAAATGAACTTATCAAATGCGAGTGGAAACTAGCTCTTTATCTCGATAAGAGTAATCAAGACAATGAAAACAGAATGGTTCCAAGAGCGAAATGAATATTTACAACGGAATTAGTAAGCACCTGAATATTTACCGAGCCTGAGGCGAATAATTGTTAAATACCCTCCTTTAGGCGGTTGGAGTGAGTTCGTGGAGGTTTCTGCTTCAAAAAAAAATAAACATAATTTTTTGAATAAAATTTACAAATCATCAACAAATATTTATTTCGTTAGGGTCCAAATGGATTATAGTCGGTTCTTTAACAGGATCTTTGGTTTTTATCTTGATCTGTATTTTTACATTCTGGTTTTGTTGGAGACGAAGGAAACGACGTAAGTATGCGAACTTACTGATACACCCGAAGAGTTAATCTATTTACTTAATTTTCATGGGAAAAAAAATTGAAAAATGATAGAAAAGTTGGATTCCTTTCTCGCTTTTTATTCAGCAGAGCAAAATAGAATCCAAATTTAGTGATGCTCCCATTCCCAGAGTCCAAGAGCTGTTCAATTTTCTCCGTTAATGAATTCCTCAATGGGTTAAGAGAGAATAAACAAACTAAAAATGGACAATATCTTTTATTCCAATACCCCCATTGACCGAAAAATACGTAAAGGGTAAATTTTGGTCTTCCTCTGTGTTCTTTCAGAGAAAAGGCAGTAAAATATTTGGAGGGTAAAAAAACGAACGAAATATTATTTTCACATTTAACTTTGCTTTCAGGCCATCGACCAAGTACTTCAGATCCATCTAATGGTGAAGTAGCAATTTCTTTGCACTACAATTTTTATCATTTTTTCAGCTTGAGTTACCAAGTATATCAAGTTTTTATTTGCAAGTCGTCCAGAAGTTTTCCTCTTTCTCTTTACACTAACCAGGACTTTGTCTAATGAAAAAGAAAAGCGAGTGATTTTTCAACAGTGATAAAGAACTAGAGCTAAATTAACGTTGACGAGTCTAATGTCAAATTCTTCTATTTGTAACCAGAAGTTGAAGAAGTGGTAGCTGAACACCCGAATGGAAATGAAAAAAGTCTACAGATCCGCGGTATGTATCGAAGACAAACATTTAGTTAGTATTTGCCCCCCCTCGCCCGCATTTATAAAAGTGTAGTACTAGAATGTTTATCTTGAAATGAAATCGGCAAAAAAGTGAATGTTTTTAAAAAGATTATAACCTGGTTGTAGGTTCAGAGGGTTTGGTGTACGGGCTCATTATCACTACATTTCTGATTTTTTTTTAAACGCAAAAAGAAATAAACATTCGTCGAGGGAAAAAACGAAGCGAAACAACATAATTTTCGAAAAAACAAAGAAGTAGTTAGCAAGGAACAGCGAAGGTTAGGATTTTTGTCAAAAAAAGTGTTTTTCTATCTAGGGCTTTGTCCAATAAAAATAAAGCGAGTGTTTTTTTCAAAAGTGATTTAGCGCGGGCCAAACGTTGATGAAGAATGCTAGGAAAGAAGTAACAAAATAATTTTAATTATCTTATTCTTCTATTCAAAACCAGATACAAGACATGAACCATCGAATGGAAATGAGAAAAGTCTACAGATTTGTGGTAAGGATCGAAGATGTACATTAAATGAGTGTATTTCAACAACCGCTGGCATATTTGGACCTTGTTTCACCCCCTTAACTAAAATCCACCTTGCTTTCGCCCTCGAAGGAAAACTCCACAGTGTAGTTGAATAGTGAGAAAGAAATATCCATAGAAAAAAAGGGGGAAAAGTGGTAATATTTTTTAAGAAGTTAATATTAACGTGTTAATGGGGTAAAAGGTTTTGGTCAGTAGCTAGGTTAATTACCCCTTTGCTTAACTTGACATTTCTTTCAAAAGGAACTGATTTGTTTGTAGAAAAATATTTCTTTCGTCTTGTCACAACGCGGGGGGGGGGACAAAGGGAAAAATCTGCAGGACGCGTGTCATATATGAACTTCGTAATAAACCGCCTTCCTCATCATAGCTAGTGTATCTGTGAATCAGTGGTAGAGCATCGGAGCTCAGAATACGAAATTCTAAGGTTCGATTCCACGCGGAGACCTCGATTTTTTGTTCCCGCGCTCGTGGAAAAACGAAAAAAAAATTTCTCTATTTCTTTAGCGAGCTCAAAACTAATCATCTTTCTTATTCTATTAATTTGTTTCTATTTATAAAAATCGTCGTGTGCTTAGCGCCGTAGGTCTTCTTGGCAATAACATCAACAAGCGACGAATTGATCTCCAGAGATTTACATTTACTTAAATTGACATCATCCCTCTCATAACCCAAATAGATGCTCTTACTGTCTAAGCCACGAGTGAGACAAATTGGAATTGAATTTTTTGTTTCCCTGTAAACTGAGGGAGGACCCTCGTTTTCAAAATCTGTTGTCATCGCAATGGAATTAACCTGCAGATAGCAACTCTCACCTGTTTTATCTTTTTCTACGATCAAAATACTTTTATTAATAGACTATTTGGTATTCACGTATTTCAGTGGGTAACGTAGAAAAAAATTAAAATCGTTAAAATCATCTTTGTTGTACTTATAGGAAACAAGGGAATCCTGCAGACGATAGGTACGTATGAAAACGAAAATCGCAAATTATGACAAGTGTTATCAATACATTAGCCGTCGTGAACCCTTCATATTAAGGTTTGACTTTTTACAACTACGCTATAAATGAGCTTGTGATAGCCATTAACGTCCTTTAAGTAAAATTTCTCAGTAAAATACGTAGGATGAGTCATGGACTTGAAGGTGATGAGACCTATAATAAGTTGACTGTTGTATCAAAAAATGCTCATGCAACGAGCTTAAGAAAGCGAATACAAAAGTACTTGTGCAAATCAGACGAGAGCAAAATTTTCCAGTCCCTAATTATGGGTGTAAGCCAAGCCAATACCTGTTTAGAACCCAAAATGTAATCGGAACGGAATTCAAGGCTAAAATCGTCATTAAGTCCTAGAATAATTATCAATCTCCGACGACAAACACTTACTGTAACCAGCTTGCCAAAAAATCTTAGAGATATCAAAATTGGAGGGTACTGGTTTATACACGTCATTATAGGCCCGTGCAAATTGCCACTTACACATCTACGTGGATATTAATTTGAAAAGTTACTCTTTTACTGGTTCGCAGTCTTAGCTGAGGTTCCTCTCAACCAATTGTGTTGATCTCCACTGAGCCATTGCAAACTTTGGTTTTACTCCGCACCAGTTCTGGAAGCCATAACAAAAACACGTTGATTCTAATTGGTGTTTAACAGCAAACATTAGAAGAACTGGTGGTAGCAATTCAAATTGGTCAGTATGGCTCTAAGAGAGTTGTAATTCTAAGAGAGTTAACAAAGAGAATTCCAAGAGGTATTTTCTTTTCTGTTTGATCCCAAGTCAAAAATCTGATTTTTGTAACAAATTTCGTTACAAATGTTAAAAGATCATAACTCAACTCATGATTTAGATATTTCAGAACGACCTCTACGGACAAGAAAAAAAACTTATCGCCTTAGTTGGGAGGGAAGTAGAAAGAATGATGATTAATTTTTTTTTATTTCCCTTTGCAGATCCAAGTGTTCTTAAAGGTGCAAAAAGTGTAAAGTATACATGTGAAAGAAGGACTTCTGATCATGGAGAGACCATAAAAGAATCATTTGAAGTACAGTTCTCATAGCATGGTCCTTTAGGGATGACAGAAAAAAAATTGAAATACCGTTACCTCTTTTCTCTGAATAATAGTGATGGAATCGAATCATAGCAAAATGTGAGAAATTTAAGCAGACGAAATGATTGAAGATGATTTGGAAATAGAGAATGAGAGAACACTGAAAATTTTAGCAAGACGGTATGCTTTTTTCCTTAAAGGCTTTCCTTAAATGTTTAACGTGATCTGGAGTCGTGCCAACCAATCAGGTCAGTACAAAGGCCTATGTGCCAAAAACATCAAAACACTTTTAGGGAAAGGTCAATGTGCTTAACATTTTATTCATGCATACTTTCTTTGAGTTGCTTTTTAGTTTCAGACACAAATCTTGGTTACCAGGCAAAATTGTCTGCAGAAAAATCCTTCAAAAGGCATTGAAACCTCCTAAAGTGAGATAGCATCTGTGAAAAGGGAACAGCCATCCATAACATTGACTGGTGGAGTTAATGCTGTATTTCTCCATAATAGGGTAAAATCTTCGGTAGGGATTTGACTCAGATTTTATCAAACTTGCCACAGTTGTAAGTCATGAATAAAGCGCTGGAAAAACGCAATAAAGACTTCGGGTCACCGAGCTTGTTTTCGCCCTGAATGCCTGTTGTTCTAATTGTTCCTTTATAATATGCGCAGGAAGTGTTCAATTTTTTATAACCATTAAAAAATTGTTATTGTAAAATAAGAATTCCGAATATAACTGAAACAATCCTTTATTAAATTGATTTCAAATTGTCCGATCTTGCATCGATGTTTTTAGAAAAATGGACCGTGTTCTACTCCTCCTCGGCAACTGATACTTTCAATTTAATAAAACGTGAAGGGTAAAACCTCTGCTATCAAAGTTTTTGCCAATTTATCGTACACTCAAAAAGGCGGACCAGCATGTTCGTTTACTGGAACCTCGCAATTTACCTTTGTTACAGGTTTGGGCAGAATAAAAGCTCCCATTTTAATTTATTGTGCATTCAATTATCTGCGTGCAATAGGGATGCACAACGCAAGATTCCCCTATCATTAGTAATTCTCCTAATCAGATTAACTTCGAGAGGTCTAAAGAAGAGGAATTTTAAAAAAATTAACATAAAGATTAGACACAATTTATCTTTTATTATTGGTTTTTTTTTCATAACGGAAGTTTCTTTTACCATTGCACATTAAGAAATTCTGCCTAACTAATTAATTCTATTTAATTCCACGTCTTCGCTAAAAATGTAATTGAAGTCCTCTGCAGCAATATCTCTCCAAGGCCTCTGTAGGACGCAAGGCTGCAAGATCTGGTTCATTTTTCATTTTAGGAGAAGTTCTATATCCTGCTCGACTATGCTTCTAAATCCTTGACGCTTTCGTAGAGTCGGTTGTCGTAAGTTTCCAAGTTCAGCAGCCTCTGTAAAGTACAATAACAGCCGATATCTAATTCAAACTAAAAATACTCTAAAACTACGAACAAACACCAATTTTCAATCAGCAAACGGCGAAAATTGTGGATGTTTAGATCAAATAATACAAGATTGATTTCCGTCTTCATGGGTGCAGCGTGGTTCTTTGTTCAACACATTTCAACTTTGCCCTCTCGCTTTAACATGCACAATTTACTAGAGATGACATGGCGAGTTAGTTAGGATTGAGATCAGTTTAAGGCATTGCCAGAGTATAAAAAAAATCTGGAAGATTGATCTTGATACTTATATGATATGCATCTGTTCAAATGTTACATTCTTTGACCTGGCCCCAAAAACCTGATCCCCAGGGCAACGCTTCCAACATTGAAATAAAGTAGTTCTAATGTAGATTTCACAATCATACCTTGCGTTGGTTTTCCATTTCTTTGAGTTCGTTCTTCAAACTTTGGAAAGTTGGTCTCTTTTCGGGATCGTCCTCCCAGCACTTTGTCATAATTGCGAATCTAAATCATCGAGTGCAATCATGAATGCAATGAATGCAATCAGTCTCGTATGGCTCATTGATATCTTGGTATAGGGAGAACTGACTCTGAAAGTCTTCAGTTTGAGTAGACTTTAATCTGTAAAGCGCATTCTAAAATGTACCGACAGGAGGAAGAAATCTGTACAATTTTCAAGTAAAGGAATATTCTGTACACTTTTCAAGTCTTTTTTTATAGTTGAATCTCAGAGGTGCTTGCAGAAATAAAATAGGTTCAAAATCAAAAACGAGATCATGCGCGCAGCAGAACACCACAACATAACTGGCGTCATGAAATCACAGCAATATAAGAGTCTCATACAAATCATCATCCACGTGCTGTGGTTTAGGCATTCTGTATCCCTCTTGTAGTGACTTGATAATTTTCGTGCCATCCACCTTTGGATACGGTGTACCACCTGAAAGAGACCGTTTGCTGTTACTAAAAGCAAACTAACACATACCCAAGCGTATTCCTTTTTGGATCTTTCTTGGTTGAAATAGAGCCATACACACGACATCCATAATCATACTGAACTGTTTATTATTTTTTTTATTTCATGGAAACGACCAACCCGTACAAGCTACAGACTGGTCACAACATAGAAGTATGTAAATATTCTTTGTTCTAATTTCCTTAAGGTAAGAACTTCAGGCAAACTCACCCAAGCCTTAAAAAATTGCACATGAAATGCCAGCCATTGTTATTTCAAGAGTTAACGCAGCTTTAAAATGAAACTTGGCGGCTTCATTAATGACATGGTCTTTGACCACCCAGATGACTCACCTATTGTAAAAATCTCATAGAGAAGAACCCCATAGCTCCACCTGTTCAGAAAAATCGCAAAATTTTGAGATTTAAGGCTTTCAATGGAAAATCTTTGAAAATTTCGGCCTAGCGAACTATTTACAAGTATTACAAAATTCACAGCATGGATGATGCAGGAAGTAAGGACAAACTAGATCCTCGTGGTCTCACGTGATTACTCTCCCCCATAAGATGACTTTGGTTCAACGTCACTGACCACCCCTCCCCACTACTCGCATTCATAAATTTACTCCCGCCAAAGGAATACGGTTCACCCTGAGAAGTCTTCATTAGGTCTAAATAACTCAAGCGTATACTCACACATCACTTTTCGTAGTATATTTTCCATACAAGAGAGCTTCAATGGCAGTCCATTTTACTGGAAGAGGCCCCTAAATTAACGTCACAACGAACTGGCTTAAAACCTGAATAAAAGGCTTTTAGTTATGTTGCAACATTAAAAATTAGTACATTAACTTCGATTCTGATATCTAAGTTTAAAAGACAGTCCTAAATTAGAATAGCAGAGCAATTGGATAACCAAGTTATTCACCTTTGGGAATCTATAAAGTAATATCTGCACAGCCTTCTTCATCATTTTGCATTGTCAAGGAGAATGGTTTAGTACCTTTGTTTTTCTTTCGTAAATCCTTTCCTGTTGCACATCTCTGGCCATACCAAAGCCTGTCAATTTACACGTTTCTTTTTCACCCATCAACACATTTCGGGCCGCAAGGTCTCGGTGAATAATCTAGGAAGAAACCATGTCTATATGACTTCGACCCGCATAGACGATTAGCGTGGACTAATTAAAAATATCAACTTCAGAGCAAGACGGTTATATAGCACCATAAAACCTATAAAGTACATACTATGAAAATAACAAAAGTTCCCACAGTTTTTGTTGGGATAGGCGAGCGCGAGCCTTTCAACACAACACAAAACTGACGGTGTTTGCGTTACTGAACTGCCTGCCTCTGCGTTACCGCAGTCCTCCAAGCAAACTACGCCTTATCGTTAAGCAGGCAATAAGCTATAATGAGGCAAACGAATTTACAGTGGATTAAGGAAAATCCAAAAATTAACGGGAAAAACCAGGAAAAGTGGGCAAAGCAAGAAAGGGAAAAATGAAAATATTTACTTCGATTTCTCCAGCTCGGGTTCTCTCGCGGCTATTCTCTTGTGGGCCGTTTGAGAAAGACTCTTATTCCCAACGTTTGGCGAAATTTGCCAAAAATATTACCTTCCTCTCCCCAGTGCAAGAAGGGATGTAAACAAAATATGCAAATCGAGAGCCCGAATGGAAGCCACCTGAAATGAATAATCGGAAAGTGGAGGCCTTTCCCGATTGTGACACCATGAAAAATTTAGCAATGAGTTGGTTACTTACTGATTTCGATGACAAGTAACTCATTCCATCAGCGATTTGCCAAGCGAACTTGATCAGCTGTTCAGACATCAGATTTGTCTGTGGTTTGATATCCGGGTCTTTGTAATAAGTGTCATTCAATCCACGGCTCCTTCTCAAGTAACCGAGCAGATTTCCAAAGGGAGCGTATTCAATTAACACCAACAACGGTCCTCAGAAGAGAAAAATATGTTGAAAGCAACTTGTTAATCTCCTTCCATTTTCAACTTAAATGTCGCTTTTCAAGAACAATTATTCTAAGTTTATCATGATTTGAGAAAAAAAAGGTCGATACAGAGAAATACTCTTGATATGCACGTGAGAAACTCTTACAACTATCCAAACCAACCAAATGTTAAACTACTCTCAATTTACCTGATTTCGTGACGCACCCCAGAAGTGTGACGACGTACGGATGAGGTTTGAGTTGTTTCATCAACTCTAGTTCAGACAGCAAATCCTTCTTCTCTGAATCAGTAGCTTCGTCTGAAAGATTGTTAAGTTTCAAACCATTTTTTTTCGGAAATTTATAAAAGATAACAGTTGATTATTTCGCAAACGGTGATATATGCGGAGGAGCTATGGAATTTAACCATGATTGAATGACTTGCCGGCTAAACGATTTTGAGAGAGATTAACGCTTTTTCGCTGCAGTTTTATCATAAATGGATTAAGATAATGTTGATACGAGGGAATAGCAATTTTTGTCAGCATTACCACTAAATGTTATAAAATATACCGATTAACTGCTCTCCTTGCGTACGATCTGTAATATAATTGTGGAATCGTCATCGCGTTATGGTCTCGACATGTTACAAAATTAACCTCAAATCGGACGGATATAACCCACTTAAGTCTTTTCCGTTGTATTATTGTATGTACAGCCTGTTTTCATACTTGTTAACGTATTAAATAAACAGATTACGATGTCTGAAAATATACCTCCTCAAAGGAGAGGAGTCGTCGTCAGCGGAGATGGCAATTTTTTTACCGAGTTGTTGCTCTTTGGGAGGATGAAATAAGCGATGAAAAACAAAAGGAAATCCCTCGGCCAAGTGATAATTTGTCGAGAAAAATCCAAAGTTTTTCGAGCTGCCACTTTTCTCCTCGAACTCCATGAAGGATCTTGCCGGTCATGAAAAGCAAGGTCACGGGAGCTCCGGCAGAAAATGTGGACGTTTATTTATTCAGTTGTGCATTGCTCCTCAAGGACCCATTTAGATCTACTCATCGTTGCATAAGAAGGGATTCAGTTTTAAGTCGATTATCAACGATGGTTCGTTCTCATTGATCACAACAAAGAGGGAATGTAGGTGTTTAATCACTTCATATATCACCATAATATTTAATGCTCAAGCACACAATTTCAATCTCCTGCTGCCTCGAGGTAGCTGTTTGTAACGTTTTTTTGTTTAACCAAGCCTATAAAAAAGCTAGACTTAGACTTAACACAAGTAAATAAAACTGACAAGGCTTAGTTAGTCATTTCTTGGCAATTTATAGCTGATATTTCTAAAGTTCGCGTTCATTACGCGATGTCAATTTCACTAAACCCTTGCGCATAGAGAAAAGGTAATCGCTAGATTTTACTACATATTTCACGGTTGTTCAAACAAAACCTTGCGCTACCCTTGTATCAAAATTACGCACACCTACTTATGATATAACAGCGGCAAAGAAGCGATGATCTCTCACCAAAATGTTTTTATTGGACGTCGAAACAACCTTTCACCATACATTTCTTTCTTGCGAGTTGTAATGTTTTCCCCGAGACGATTCCAGATATCTTTGCACAAACACAAGGATTCGATTACTGGCAACCCATTGATTGGGAGTGAGATTTCACATTAAGACATTTGAACTCTTAAAAAAACAAGAACGAACACAAATGTATTTCTATAGTGCTTCTGGCCTCAAGCTAAGAACGTAGCTGAATATTGGCCATGATTCCCATACACATACAGAAAAATATTATGCAGAGGCATACAATTTTAAACAAAGAGATTCGACAAATTCAAGCAAGAAGTAGAACTTGACACCTTTCAACATTTTAACTGCCACCACTGTCTTCTCAGATCCTCCGTGTAGACCTATGACTGTTGCCTTGGCAACCTGACCGAAAGCACCTTTTCCAACGATCTTTTCGATAGTCACGCGTTCTCTCGGAATCTCCCAGGAGCGTGATGATGGATCAAGAGATGCGTACTCGCTGTATTGTTCAGTGCTGTGTGGACTGTTCTGTCGTGAGGCATCCGTCATGAATGATGAACGAGTTCTGTCATCCAATTCCATATAATGCATTTCGCGAGGTTCATCTATTTCAAGTTCCATCTTGGAAACAAAATTGACTTAACTTTCGAATTTTAAAAGATAACCTGTCTCCCCTGATAAACTTTTAAATGAACTATCTTCCACGAACAGTGGTGCATACAATGATATATTTATTTTAAAAGTAAGCAACAAGTCGAGCAAAGGATTTTTAAACTGAAATATGCAGGCAATTTATTTACCAAAAATGGAACATGTACTCACTTTCACTCCTCTTTGTTTAGTTGATTCTTTATACATGCTAAAACAATAATACAGATTAGATCAAAAAATTATACTAATCAACTACATATTATTTGGTTTGAGTAGAACTGATCTAAAGAATCATGCTTAACGGTTGCGTTCTTTACATCTTGTGATCAATAAAGTAGTAATAGGAAGCAGTCTGCTGAATATGATCCTTAGTACGGGGAAAGACCCCTAACTCGTATGTAAACGTAACTAATAAGCATATAAGGATTTGTTATATGGTTACGTGGTTCATATGGTTTAATTTTAGTTCAATTGGCAAATGCTTTTAAACGTCTCCACTGCCTCACGATGAGGATATAGTCATAAACCTTCCTAACGGGCTTACCTTTCCTTTCCTGCTGTCCCTTGAGGAAAAAAAAAAGGAAGTCAGTGAGATGCAAAATAAATAAACAAAAGAAATGAAGGCACAGGGAGAAACACAACGAGGAAGTGCGATCTAACGAAACAAATTTAAATTGATGATATCTGAAAAGCCCTCATAAAGTCTCAGTACGTAAATGTTTGAAACTATGTACAAGCCATTAATCAGCATGAAGAATAGCAAGGCAAGGCAAAATGTTGCTCTAATACTAATGACAAATCATCGTACATAAAGCTTGTTAATGATAACAGCTGGGTAGCGGGTAAATGTATTCACTAGCTACCCGCTCGTAGCCTTTTCATAAGCGTCATTCTACTGTGAGCTTAGGGGTAATTGTAAATTCTCGTCAAATTGGCTGACTTCTACGAAATACGAAGTAACACAAATTGGAATAAACCTTAAAATTCAGGAAAATACATACAACTGAAACAGTCTTAACCTTCAAAATTTCCCTAGAAAGCCCAGACCTCCCTCGGAAGAGAAAGCCCACTAGGCGTTCACGACTACCCGCCTACCATTCAAAAATACCCAATTGTATCCAATTTTTTTATAACCACTGCTTACACGGTCTTATACTTACCTCTATGTTCGTTCTTTCGAAGCTTAAAGAAATAGAATACCAGGACGAGAATGCCCAGGAGAATAAGACCAGGAAGTGAAACAATGACAGCAATCATCCAGCCTTTTAACGGTTCACCATCACTTCCTGCTCCTGGAATAGGGCCAGCCGGAACTAAAAAACATTGACAAACGCATAAAAAAATCCTTCTTAATGTGTATGGGAAATCGCATGCAATCCTTGTACAATGGGTAACTCGGGGTTTGTTCCCTTTTTCAGAAACAATCTTCAAGGACTTTTCCAGGTCTCAGATTTATTTTTCAACGATTCCAAACTTCACCTTAAATCCTCTCATTCCCAAGATTTCCAAATCAATTCTCCTTACGGTCTACAGATATTTCCTACAAAGTGAACTCTGAAAACTTTATCGCTTGAGTTGGGCAGATTTCCAGGACTTTCCGGAACCTTCTAGAACTTTCAAGGATCTGTAATTTTTTTCAATGACTTTCCAGTCCTGGAAAATGACAAACTCAAATTACATGACTATCCAGGTTTTCCAGAACCCATACAAACCTTGTGACTTACGGGCAAGCATGACTGAAAAGAAGCCTGCTAGTCAGTGCTGGTATTACCTCTCCCCGACACGTTTCCAATCTTCCCAAGGGCGGAGAAACGCGCGTTCTGAAGCTCTCATAATTAGGACCTGCTTGCACGCTAATCAAATTGTACCACGTACCTGTATCACTATAAACATAAGCCGGAGCAGACTCTCCTGGTCGTCTCATATCCACTCTTAATCTATATGAGCTGTCAGCTTTCAGATCGCTCACTTTAAACTCTGATACAGGTCTTTTCAGCTGAGAGGCTCCCTCGACAAGCTCCCAAGAGCCCTCTCCTCCCTGCTGAATCTCAACAGTCGCAGTTGTTACTTTGTCATCTGCTATCGTCCATTCCACCAGTATGATAGAGGCGTCGTCCGATGCTCTGAAAGCTTTCACTGAAAGAAAGGACGGAAGAAGGACAGTTTAGCTTACGTATAGCGGTACCCCCCCCCTCCACGCTGCACCTAAGGAAAATTCTACTACGAGCTATGAAGGCGTAAACAGTCTGCATGCATGCCAAGTTGTCCTGCTAGCTGTAGTTTATTCCAAGTACACCTGTAAACCTGGTATACCTACTAGGAGGGTGTCAATGGCGTTAACAGTTAGCCGTAAAACGACCCAATTTTTTAACCGTTAGACGTACAAATTGACAGATTTCAATCGCTAATACTGAAATATTTTCTAAACATACCAGTTCCTCTGTCCGGAGGTATCTGGGACTCTAAAAACGAGCAAACAAAAAACCATAAGAACAATTGTCATTGCCATCACGTAATATTTCATAACATTCCCAAACATTCTATGATTTACTTTGTTTATATATAGTTATTGTTACCCGGTGTTTTATACTCCTTTGGGTCTGACAGTTGGCTTTGGCCAATATTATTGGAAGCTTGAACGGAGAATTCATACACTGTTTCCGGGTAAAGTCCGTGTATAGTGTGCATGTTAATATCTGGGTGACCAACAAACTGTTCCACAAAGTCTCGGTTGCTTTGTTTGACGCGATAATGGATTGTGAACTCTTGATCATATCCTCCACTGTATCCAGGTGTCCAGCTCACAATGACACTTACAGTTTTCGAATTTTGGTCTCGAAACGACTTCACGTCTACATTAATTGGTTTATCTGGAACCCCTGCCAAGAAAGTGACTCAGTTTCAGTTTAGGGTGGTGAAAATCTATTTAAGATAGTCCCACTTAGTTTACATTTTAAATAATTTTTCCCTAGCGATGGATGAGCTGGGGTGGCGCTGGATTGGTCTCTTCTAAGTGCTGCATGATCACACTAATGGAAAACCTCCCAGGATCTTTAAGTAGTAGTAATCTTTACAGAGGATGCCAACGTCACGAAGTGGTTTACAGAAGGGTCCTCAGTTAAACACCTGCCAAAGACTCTTACAGACGAAGATCTCTAAGGATCCTTGAATCCTGTGTTCAGCGGTCATGTAACGATATGTATTTCTTTTTTTTTTTTAATACTTGCTGGTGATGATCTGAAGGTGGGATTCACATTTGTTAACACAGACATTTTGTATACTTCGGCCAATTTCTTCATAGTTTTCCTGGTATAACGCCATGAAATGTTATGCAAACCTCAAAGAATGATAGTTGCCAATTTTTCTGTTCCTTCGTGAGACTACAATCTGAGGATCACACAGACAATTTGAGAAAAAAGTTAACCCCAGGGTCCTACTTACCTCTTTCCCTTATGGTGTATTGCTGGTTGTCACTGCCCAGAAGATTTACGGCGACGCAATAGAAATGTTCCCCTATTGCATTGACTGTAACCTTCAATACACTGGTGTCTCTCTCCTTAATGATACTTTTCACTTTTTCATCGTTCAATGAGTTCAGATCTTGTCCATTAAGTTTACGTTTCCATGACAATGACGGTGAAGGTTTTCCGCTAACGATACAGGTTAAATCGACTTGCTCGCTTGCTGCACCAGGTATTTGAGTGCTTGTAGGGGTGGATGTGGAAATGATCGGACGTACTGTTGGAAAGCAATTACTCCAGTTTATCCAAACTGTGAGAAACATTTTTCTGAATGTTCATTTGTCTCTGATTTCTAGTGATCACCATGAATTTTCGCAACTATGCGACCTTTGAAATCAGGGTTTTTTTTGGACATAAAATTTTTTAGCCTGCACGCGCGTTTCTTGACCAAAAGTAAGTTAAAAGCCTTGAGCAAAGCAAGAAGGCCAGCGGTCTGCAAGGAATCTGGCAGACCACTTGCAGGCCTGTTGCCGGCTAGCGTTGCCCAAAGCATCAAACTTATTTGCAGGCAAAAAACCGGCTCTTACTGCAGAACCAATGACGAAAGCTTGTCCGCCGGCTGATAATTTCACTGAAATTGGATTCCCTAGTTTCAAACACAAGACACTGTTAACTGGATTTAATGATACATCCACTACTGCCAAAGATCAGACACACCCAAGTCCTACATGGAAACACGACTAACACATCTAACGTGCACGAGAACTTACTCTGGACATTAAGAGTGATTTCTTTCCAATCCTCGCCAAGTTCATTTCTAGCAACACATCTGTAGGTTCCATCATTCTTGCCACTTATGTTGCGTATGATGCACTGCTCACCCAAGCAGTTTAATTCATCTTCTATCTTTCTCCAAGTGATTGTTGGCTGTGGCACTCCCTTTGCACGACATGTCATTGTAACATCGTTTGTTTCATTAACTGTGAATGCTCTTTGATAGAAGGTGATTGTTGGTGGATCTTTTGTAAAACAAAAAAATAAGAGAGATAAGTGACAAATAAAAATTACTGCAGGTGATGAAGCTATTAAAACAATTTTCCACGAGGTGCGAAAGAAATCAGAGATTACTTTGGTTTTGCTTTGACTTGCTTTGTGATTGGTACAAAAAAACTCGTGCCACTCTCTGAACCAATCAGATACAACACCAAAACCAATCACGAATTGGTCACCCACGTTTTCCCGCGCTTTAGGCGGTTTGGTTATTTTAGTTTGAGTTCTCAATGGCTCTCAACCCTTTAACTCTTATTAAAAGTTCTCATTAGCAATTCTCCTTACTGTCTGCTATGCAATTCTTATGATCTTAGTTGAGAGAATTCGGTATTAGATCAACTAAAACTCCCCTGATTGATATTTTTCTCTATTCTCATCATTTGTCTGCTTGATATTGTATTGATATTGTAAGGAGATATTCTGTCTTGATCACTCATGGGAGTAAAACGGTGAAAGGTATTTTCCTTTCTTCTGATTGGCCATTGAAATTACAATGGTTTAGGTTTTGCAACACGCAATTGAAAAGCACTCTAAAAAAATTAATGTAACTTACGCTTAATAAGTAATTGTGCTCTGGCAGGAGGTCCTTCTCCTAGAGAGTTGGTTCCAGTACAGGAATACCATCCTGCATCAGCCTGAGTCACTGAAGCCTTTGTGAAAGTTGTTGTTACGCAGGCACTGCAACTTTCTCCAGGTATGTCAACTCCATTGAACTGCCACTTTTGTGAAAGGGTGGGCGGATTGCCGATGGTTTTACAAGAGAAGGTTGCTTCTTGTCCCTCAGACAGTGCGAGGTTTTTCGGATGATCAGCATCAGACTGAACAACTGGTCGATCTGAAGATTTAAAAAAACATCATTGAAACTCTATCTCAAAAGTAAATTGATGAAATAGTCTGATACACAAAGAAAAATGCCAAGGTTACTTAATTTCATACATCAGTGACCCAAATTAAATTGGCAATGAGTAATAATCAAAGTGGATCTAGCACAAATCACTTTCAAATTCAAACGAAAATTAGACAGCTACACAAAGCAGGGGCATAAAATTTGGATTTAGCACTCTGTCAATACCAGCACTACAAGTTAGACCCTGGAATGTGATTGAGTCATGTGGCCCGTTTAATTAGAGCTTCTCCCAGTTCTGTAAGATGACGCAGCTCACAAAATTATCCCTCCCCCTAATTGAGATGCTATTCCAACTCAAGATCCCCCCCTGCATTTCATCAGGCTTCTCACTGATACCCATTATACTCTTGGGTAGAAAGAGGATCTGCAAGAGTAAAGTGTCCTGTCTAAGAACATAACATAGTGACCCACGTCAGGCTCAAGCCAGGAGCTTTTGAGGCAGATTCCAGAGAGCTGACTGTAAGGCCATTGCACATGTCACCCACTTCTATAAGGGCGAGCATGTACTAACAGTATTAAAAAGAATTAGGAAATTCTCTGATTTCTAAAAGCATAATTCAAAGAGTGATAGCAAAGCTGTTAATTAAATAAAGGTATTGTTAAATAATTTAAGAAAATGAAGTACAGTATCAGTGTCTCAGTTGAACATCAACATGATCACAATTCAATCACATTAAAAAACATTTCCTAACAACCCTTGAAGAATCAACAATTTTGCAACCGGTCTATAAGAATTTTAATTTAACACTACCATGTAATGTACACATACAGTGATTTTACTGTGCTAATTACCCTCAATTATATGAATAAGGCGCAAACTGAAAAACACAAAAAAAAAAACAAAACAAAAAAACCACAAGAAAACAGAGAGAAGAGACAGGACAGTGTCCTGTCCACCTTTGTCTGCAACAACTGTAGCAGATATTGCCGAGTTGGAATTGGGTTCTGAGGCCATACATAGCATTGCATTAAGACCAAACTCAGCATTTTCCATGATCTTACAAGAAAAAGAGGATGGTTGCTATCCTAATAAAAATCCCTATTCATTTGATCAAATACTTACAGCGCACTTCAAGATCTGTGGTTTGCCTCCTCTGACCAGCACTGTTGAAAGCCACACAAGAGAAAGTCCCATTCTGCTGCCAGGTTACTTTATCAATAGTCAGATAAGAAAGAGTTCTCAAAAGTTTAGAATTTTGAACTGGTGCAACTTCAGTTGTGATATTGTATGATGTGCCAGTCAGATTTTTTTCACCCAGCTTCCAAACAATTTGAGCATAAGGTTTGGCTTGAACTGTGCATGCGTAGTTCACCGTTTCATTTTCAGTTTTTGTTTGTTTGTTTGGCAAATTACTCTGGAATGAAGGTGGCACTGTAAAATAAAGACAGGCAAAATGTGTTAATTAAATTAATTTTACACATGATAAATTCATGGCCTCACTTCATAGATTTGTAATACAAAAAATTAAAAGAACTTTAAATACAAAGCTACATAAATTTCTGGCTGTGGAATTAGGCGAACAACAGCTTTAACATAAGAGATCAATTGCAAGAAAAATTTAAATTTGCACAAGATTAAATCATGGCCTCACTTCATAAGTTATACTGGAAACAGAGATCAATCGCCAAGGAAATGTGCACAGGGTATTCATTTGGCAATGAATATCACAGAATGCTACACATCATACCCAGAATAGTCTGGCTAAATTTCTGTGGCCTGACCTTTCCATTTATCTTTCATTTTTTGCGCAGACCTAATAAACATTTTGCTTTCACTTCATAACACTGTGAGTGTTGTCAAGGAAGACCCTGGATATAAACAGGTAACCTAAACATTTTCCTGTTTTTCACTGACACCAGTTTTGCACTTTTTGACTTAACAGTTTACAGAAATCTGATGTGCCACTATTTTTTAACAAATCAGGAAAAAACTGTGGTTTTACTTCACTTATCCATGGTGGTTGTGTGTTTTGCTAGCACTAGATGTATTTCTCACCTACTACATTGACTGTCAATGATTTTGATGGCCCATCTCCAAGTGCATTTCTTGGCACACAGTTGTATGAGTTATCCTCCTCAGTAAGCTGTACATTAGGAATTGTGTATCTTCCCCCTGAGGTGCCAGCCAGTATTGTTGTACCCGATGGTGTTGTACGTTGGATGGTGTAAGTTGGAGCAGGATAGCCATTTGCAGTGCAAGTAAGAGTTACACTTGTTCCTTGCACAGCATTATTGTCAGGATTCCCAGTTGTAAAGGTTGTAACAGTTGGTTTATCTGTCAATTAGTAAGAGAAGCTCAGAATCATTCTTAAATTGCATGTTGTAATCAGACAACCCTCAAGCCACTTTATCACCTAATCAACTTGATAAATTTTTACTTTTTCTAGAATATGTATGCTTCAACCAAAATGAAAGATATTTCTTCTAGAGCAATGCATATGAAAGATATCAGCTAGTTAATGAATTACCAACAGAAGCAATGAGTAACCTTCACCCTTTCACCCCTAAGAGTGACTAGCTCTTATATCACCCCTGAGTCAAACATTAAGGTCTCAAGAAGAAAGGAAATGATCACCAACTAAAGAACCTCTTGATTGTTTGACAAACTCTCCTTATCAAAACCTTAAGAAATGTATATAGAACAGTATGGAGAATATATATACTGACATTACCATGGTGTAAAATGTGAATTTATAAATTGTCATCTCAAATGACTTTCAGGTCAACACGATTTTAAAATTTGTCACTGTATCACACTTGTTTGAAATAAATTTAACCTGCATTTTATGAAAGTCTGTTTCAAACTTCAAAAGTTCTTCATGGTACTGAACTTACATCTCACATTCACCAGCCTTGTTTCCTGAGCACTACCAAACGTATTTGTTGCCACACATGTATAGTTCCCTGCATTCAACACTTGGGCACTTGCAAGTTGCAAAGTGTTTTGTGAGTCTCCAATTGCTCCTCCATTAAACTTCCATGAGTAAGAGGGTTTTGGAAATCCATCAGCCTGACATGTGAGGGTTAAGCTTTGACCAAGTTCCACAACTGCTGGATTTGGATTCACTGTGACTTGCTGAGGTGCATCTAGGATAAAAAAGAGGCAGTATGAGCTTACACCTGTCAGTGTACCAGTCTATCCTGACAGAAAACAAAAGACACAATATAGCATGCAGCAACCCAGAAATGCTTCAAACATGGAACATCTCATGCAAGGGTTTCGAAAGTAACAGGGCTATGGGTGGACCTACCCAAATATAATGCACTACATGTAGCTACCTGCTTGTGGCCTTCACACAAATTTGTAAGTTGTCCTCCTAATATACATGTACAGGTACAGTAATTATCTTCAAATTAACTCATATCTAGGCACATTGCAACATACCATAATGGTTTGATTTTGCACTTGCGGTGCTTTTTACTTTTATTACCTCTAGGGAGGATGCTTATTCAGAACAGAGTGCTTATAAGAAAAAAAGGTGCTTATTTCTCTTTTGAGGAACAACAACATAGTGTGCCAAACAAAACTGTGATATTTATTTCAGGGGGATCAACAACACAAGAAAAAAATGTGCTTGTTTCCTTGGATCCTTCCCGGCCAGAACAACCAGCCATGCAATCTCTGAGAAATTTTGAGACAGCCTCATTACTTTGAAAAACAGTGTACTCACATGGACATAATAGTTGAAAGACTGAGTAGATGACCAATATTTTTGTAATGAAACTTTATGTAAGCAATTTAAGGAAAATGAAGCATGGTTGATCTCAATTCACATGTAATTTAACATTGCCGTCATTGAAACAGAATAGGAGCACTTAGCACTTATTGGAATAGGGGAGTTTTCATAAGGAGGTCCTCACTGGATTGAGGTAGCTTACTCAAAATGGGCACTGATTAGAATAGTGGTACTTATTGCCAAAAAAAAAAATTTAGGCTTAGTACAGAGGGGACGCTTATTGGAAGGAGGGCACTAAATATAATCACTGTCAGTGGTAAATTGGATCAAACCTAAAAATGCAAGAAAATGAAACTGCAGGGGCCTTCACCCCCAAATTTTCCTAAGGAGCCCAGACCCCCTTGGCAACAAGAGGCTCTCCAGACCTTCTCTGCCTGCTACTCTAGAGCACCCATTGGCATCAAATTTTAATTAAACCAGTATCATGACTTGCACAAGATAGCAAAATCAGCAAACATATTTCACAAATTTACAACATGGTCCAGTTCATAACAAATAACATAACTTACAGTTGACCAATAAGAAAGCAGATTTTCTATTTCCAGTTCCAACCTCATTTGTACCATCACACGAGTATTGCCCAGCACTTCCCTTCTTAGCATTCTTGATCGTCAGTCTGCTTTGTGTATCGCTAATTTTCAAAGTTTCAAAATCTTGTGAATTGGATATCTCATTGCCATCCTTAAACCATTTGTATGTGGTTGCAGTGGGAAATGCTTCTGTGATACACAGAAATGTGGTAGTACGACCTTCTACAACAGTTTGATTACTGCTCAAACTGTTTGTTTTGTGTGCAGGACGGACTGTAAGATAAAAATATGAAAACATTAAAGGAAATCTTTATCATTGGCTTACATAAGGATTAAATGATAAAGCTACAGTACACTTTACAGCCCTTAATGTATACTTCTGTTATAGACTGGACTTTCTATTGGTTTCCCAGCCTAATAACCCATGCAGAATGTAACAAAATCGTGAGAATTGTTTATCAACCACAAACTAAAGGTGAGAGTCTTACAAACTTTTCTTGTGTTCTTCCAACATCTCAAGTGGGTTATTACACCCAGTAAATCAGTAGAAAATTAGATAAACTGCTTTTACAAAATGAAGTTAAAACATTTCCATTTTCTATGGTGCAGTAATCAATAGTTTTTTTCCCAATCAATCAGCAGGCAAAATATCTCAGTTATTTACCCCTTTAACTCCCAAGACAGAATTTCTTCTTAGAATATCAATACAATATAAACCAAATAAATCATGAGAATAAAGAAAAATATAAATTTGGAGATAATTAGTTGATCCAATACTAAATCCTCTGAACTAACATTATAAGAATTGTATGGTTGACAGTAAGGAGAATTACAAATTTGATCTGGGAGTTGAAGGGTTCATAAACAGGAATAGTCACAACAATTTTCAATCTTTCTCAAAATTACCTTTACATGAACAATTGACAAAATGATCCCATGAACATGAAGAAAATGTTTTAACAGATGTCCTGGGAGATAATGTTCAGGACTGACTGTCAATGACATTCATTCTTTGTATAACAGGTATCATAAAATGTCCTCATAGATAAAAATTCAACTAAAGACCACATCATTTTGACTTTTAACTGAAGTATTGTGAAAATGTGGTTTGTTTTGAAATTACAGAACACACCAAAAAAAGAAATTAGGTGAACTTGAATTCAATCCTGGACTCACAAGAAACAGACTTCTGAAAGTTCAAAACCTCTTCTACATGTTACTATTCATGCATGTCTTTGTTGGCCATTTCAATCTGAGAATTTGTCCCTGATCCCCTCTAAATAATGTATATCAACTGTACATGTATGTCATCCAATATTTATTGCATTCAGTCTTGGATATACATGTACATTTTCAAAAGATAAGTACACATGTGATTGTTTGTCTCACAATGTGGTCACTATGCTCGTGGATCGTGATGTTTGAACTGCATACTGCTTCTCTTTTTTAGGCCATGAGGCAGATTGTGTAATTGCATCACCTATCAACTGTTGTGCTCAGCTGTGACTGGATGTACATGAAAATGCACTGTAAGTGAGTTTCCCAAAACTACTAACTTTTTCTTAGCAGTTTATCAGATATCTTTCTTTGTTGGCCATTTTGACGAGTTTGTAAGCTGGTCATTTCCTTCATGTTACTGACCATCTATTTAACATTGTACCATAATGGTAAACAAAATGTATAAAATGAACTATCCAGGGAAAAAATAAAAGAAAATAGAAGTAGGTATTGTGAGTTGACTTACATCTAACTGTAACCTGAACAGTGTAAGAGTCACTGTACTGGCCAAGAGTTGGAACATTAATAACAGCTTCACATCTGTACGTCCCTGCATCATTCCTGCTGGCTGATGTTATTGTGTAGTTGGAGTTATTTGGATCTTCCGGAATCTTTACACTATCTTTATACCACCTGTAAGTGGGTTTGGGGTTGCCACTGGCAACACAAAACAATGTTCTTGTGGCACCTTCATCCAAAGTTGGAGCTGTTGTAGTTTTGAGTGTAATTATTGGGCTCACTGTGTAAAACAATGAATTTTTATCAATACAAAGGTAAGATAATCAAGTACCTATTACAGTATCCTAAAATATTTTTGAATTACCAGATAGTTTCAATACTGGGGTTCTAAAATGTCCTTAAGCCTTGACACACTTGACAATTTTCATATTCCTATTGCAGTGATCAGCAAAAATCACCAGGTGTGCTTAATGCAACAATGGCAATTTCTGTGGATTGTTATGATGGGCATGTAGGATTGCTGATATCTGGCATGTCAGATATCAATGATTTTTGCAGGTGATTGAATTGGCTGCATGCAATCTGTGGAAAAATCACCAAGTGTGTCACCAGCTTTAGTTCAAAAACTTCAAAACTAATAAATATTTGTGCCACCAATATTAATAGTAATTCAACTTAGTTGAAGAACTTACCAACAACAACTAGTTTAGCAGTATTCTTAATCACAGGAGGGACACCAGAAGTGAAAAACACTTGACAATCAAAATCACCATCGTCTTTTGCCTGAATGTTGGATATTCTAAGTGTTGCATCCCCTGATACCTGATACTGTGAATTGAGAACAGTGGCTGGTCCAATTGATGGTTTAGTAGCAACCCAAACATTATTGTAAAACCACAGTATTTGACTGACTGTTTTCCCATTGCTGTTGAAATTCCATGTTAAGGATGCAGATTGACCCTTTAGCTGATACTCGGGACTGTTTGGTTTACTTGTGAAACTTTGACTGTCTGGAAATATACAAAGGAATAAAAAAGAAGTTTTAATAATAGTATATGGATAAAAGCTAAGACTATCAAGAGAAATTCCCAACTTGCTTTACTTTAGGGTGCCAATTGGGATCTCAAACATGGTAAGTGGAAAATTTTAATCGTTTTTTCTAAGGTGGAGATGACAATTTTTTAGAGTTGGAGCATTCTTCTATTTTAACCTTTTAACTCCCATTAGTGACCAAGACAGAATTTCTCCTTACAGCATCAAAACAATATCAAGTAGAAAAGTGATGAGGATAAAGAAAAATATCAATTTGGATATTATTTTTGATCCAAAACCAAAGTCTCAGAACATCTTAGAATTGTATAGCAGGCTGTAGGAGAATTATTAACAAAGTCTTGGACATGATAAGAAGAAAAAAAGATAAGAAGCACTCAGGAAGTTTACAAAGCTTGAAAGATTTGTAAGAGTTGCTGCTTACATAGGTGAAAACAACTCTAATGACCTAACAACAAAGAACTCTCTAAAACTTTCCAAGTGCTTTTTATTTCAAAGAAGACACTGTTAATTCAATAACATCCTCAATATGGTATTTTAAAAGTTGCACCAAGAGAAATTCCCTCTTCTACTACTACACTCAACTCATTTAATTTTGTTATCAGCAAGTTTATTGGGAAGATGAAGCAGGCTTGCTTATCAAAATATTTCGCACAAAAGAAAGCCAGTCATCTTGGAATGAATTGGTGGACTGGAATGGGGTACCTTGTGCCACATTTCAACCATTTACGCAAGAATAGTGGATGATTAAAATATGTCCCTTTAGCTTTACACAGAGCAATAAAATTTTTTGAAGCAGACTTGAATGAATCTTGCACTGGTGTAGCATAATGATCAATTTCTTCCTAGCCCACAAGAATTATCCAAATGGTGAATTCGTGGTTTGTAATCCTGGATTTACTTTAATCAGATTCCAAACTTAATCAGTTAATATCATTAGAGCATTTGTAACAGCTGCACGAGGTCCACATAAATTCTAAGAAATTCTCAATACCTTGAATGTGAAGGTTTTAAGAAAAGGAGTAATTTCAGAGGCTTAAAACTTTGGCTCAATAAAAGGTATGCTATACAAAACTTACCAAGAGATATACATACATGTATATGTTTATAACTTAAAGATCATGAAATTTATTATTCAAACTAAGTTTTAGTAAATCTTTACATTAATATGGATTTTCTCATGAACCAGCTGTCAGTTATGTTAAATGGAAATTGCCAATTAATCCAATGTACTCATATCACAGATTTGCTTTATAACCTCAAAGGACTCTTGGATTCCATGATAAAAAAATTTTTTTATTGTGATGCAAATTAATGTCTCATGTTCACTGATGTGCCAAAATCATCAAACATTCATTGGCTGTTCCTTGGTACACAACTTCCACAATAATTAACAATAATTACATTGTTATCTACACTTAAAGAACTTTGTTAGTTATGAACATAAGTTACTTCCCTAACCTACATTACTGGTTGCCTTTGTTAGAAAACCTTGGAACAGTCAAGCTCAGTGGCCTCAAACACTGTCAGAGACTTTCTGTTGACAATATTTTTAGTAGAAATTTCATGCCTTAGACAAACAAATTCAACACCTAACTAATCTTTCTTTTTTCATGATTGTTGTTGCTGGTTTTTTTTCAGTTTTTTGCTCTGTTTTTGTGACTAATTGCTGCAATTTGTTTTGCTGTTTTTATTCTTACAAAACATTTTTGTAAGAGTTCCAATACTTGTGGATCATCCACACACTTTGCAAACATTTGGCATGCAGACAAGACAGAGGTAGTCAATGTTCCCTCTGAGAAAAAACACCTTTTAAATGACGTCTTCAATTTACTTTATTTGAAACTCTGATCTGAAAATATTTGTCAACAAGACTTGTTAGTCGTGAGAAGTACCAACCAAGTTTCTTTTCATAACTTAATTTCTTAAATGTCCCAATCACTGGATCTCCCAAAAAATATTACATCCTTTTATTTTTGGTGCAAAATACAAGTCCTTCTTTATATAAAAATGAAAATTGCAAGTCACACTTCAATTATAACAGCTCTAAAGTTTACTTGTTGTTCTTCTCTGTCTGTCAGTTATCAACAAAATTGTTTTATACTTCGGACAGTGCATAACTATTTGTGGAACAGAGTTCCAACGCACCTCTGTAATCACATATAGTTACTTCTGTCTCTCGTACAAATGTTTCTCCTTTGTAAGACGCACTACTCTGTTGTCACTACTGCTTTAAGTTCAGTGGAAACGACTGACTGAGGAATCGAGATGGCGGTGTTGGAACATGTTGCTGAACGCTTGCTACGGTCAAGCTTTGTAGATTTAGGTAGTGGTACACTGGGATCATCTATGTATCTCTTATACTTCCTAATGTGGTATCCTTCTTTTATAAATATGAGGGTAAAAGACGATTTGTAGTCGCATTCAAAACTGCGATTGGCTTGTGTTATTTCTCACCTTTGCCATGAACACAACTCAAGTGAGTTTCGAGTCTTTTTTTCCTCGACAACTTTCGGCCACAAATCGTGCATTTGTAATACGATCGATTCTTGTCGATTATTTCTACATAGAGTGAGCTCACATCATTATTTATATCACCAAGGTGTCCATCGTCTAGAAGCAGAGAACTGATCGGAGAAGTCAAAGTAAAGTTGTGCGCTTCTCTTAACACTGCAATCGGCAAGCCAGCGGATTCACTTTGCTAGCCAATGACAAGTCCTAAAAGATCCACGTGATCATGCCCGTGATCGGAAACAAAGAAGACTCCATTTGGCGCTCATCTTTGAATGTACTTTTCATCGGTTGATCGTTTTTCTCAACTGTTTTGCGTAATATAACATTTCTTAAGATAGCTTTTATTGTGGTTCAATGGGAAAACGAGAACAGCGTGAGTGTTGTAAAAGAAAAGAAAGTCGTTGGCGCCGTGGAGTTAAAAGAAGGGACAACAGTTGACATATTGACTGGTACAAACAAGGGTCGAGTGGCCATCTGTAAAGCTACGATTTTGAAAGTTTGTGGTGAGTAAAAATTGCGATATTCGTTACGTGATCAAAATCTTATAAAAGAATAGATGTAGCGGGTTGAATTAAGCTTACATAACGCTCGGCGCAACTGAAACTAGAATAATTCTGAGAATCGAATCGGTCACTTGCATGCCGCAGTTTCTTAAGCTTATGCTTTATAATGAAATAAACCTATCAGTAAGGTTTCAAGATTCCTCTAGTCACGTTTGGGAACATTAAAGATTCATAATAGGAACTGTTATTAAACAAACCTTATTACATAAAGAAGCCCTCCTTGGTAAAAACAAAATAATGTATTCAGCCCTTTTTTAGTAAAATCTATGAGAGAGATGTACTAACTCCAATATAAAAGTCACTCAATATAACAGAGATTTCTCAATTTGAGAATCCAATGAATGCCCTTTTCCTCATAGCCATCTTAAAGGCCTGGTCTGTGCTTTAAATATATATATTTAAATATATAATTTGTTTTCAAATTCAGATGTCATGGAACCCAGATACAAAATGGTCAAGCTTCTTGTAGACAACCTCATTCAAGGCCAACTCATTGTGAGCCCAGGAAAAAATTACAAACAGCAGCTAAGTTTGCAGTTTAGGATAACTTCATTCTAATTTATTGTTACAGTTACAACAAGATTTTAATCAAAAAATCAATTTTATTTGTCTGTAATTAACCCCTTCACTCCCAAGAGTGCTTGGTTTTCAAATATAATTTAAGATATTGTACTTTATGGAAAAGAATCAACAGATTTTATTCACAATTTGTGTCAAACCAAATTTAATGATTGATTAGGACTATGTTATATGAATAGCTGCAATTGAGGATTAATCTGTATGAAGTTTCCAAGAAAAGAAAAATCAAATTCCATCCTAATATCACCACACATTGATGTTAATAATGAATCAAAAATATTTTACATGTAAGCCTTAATTCAGCTTCTAAATAAATTTCATTGAATACTTGAATTTTAGCTGGGTTTTTTAATTTAAAGTATTTATTTTATATCATTAGCCTCAAATTTTTGCTTAAAATTCCCAGTAATTCTTAAACATTCCAAAAAATTCCCAGAAATTCCTAGGAATTTTTTAAGATTTACAGCTTTTCAGGGAAAGTCATTGGTTCTCTGAGTTGGAATTCCTAGGAATTCCTAGGAATTCCAAGTCCTGTTGGCTATAAACTTGGAATTTCTGGGAATTTCTAAGAATTTCTAGGTTTTTAGAACCAGAGTTGTTATGGTTGGGAATTCCTAGGAATTCCCAGTCCGAATTTACCGTGAAGATTCACACCTTTATTCCTAGGAATTCCAAAAGCCATTTCGCAAGGGCTGCTCCTCAAATTCATAACTGCCTGTAATTAAATTTACTCTCTCAGACTCTTAATCGAGCTTCATCATTTTCCTATGCTCGAATTTTAGGAAACAGAAGATGGCCACCACTCTAGAGCTCTTCCTAATTTACATAATCTGTAATCAGCCCTTAGGCATTACCTGGCATTACCGCTGTATAATGCTTTGCTCAGATCTTGCTCTTAGCTAATCAGAGCGCCATTACGTCAGCCATAAACCAAAGCTACATGATAAAAATATTTAATGAACGGAGTGCCATTTGAAATCACTGATACAAAGAAAGCGTCCCAGTTGAATAAGGACAGTTCTTCCCAAATTGAGAGTTTTGGTTACAAAACTCTTGGAAATGGAATTTAATATTTTTAGGCATCAGTTGAGGGAAACTACTTGTAGGTTAAAATTTGATACTTCAGCTATTGCCGTGCCGTATCGTCATCTCTTAAACACCTTAAGTCAGTTATTTAAACAAACTTTAGCTGTAGTTTAACAAAACCATGTTTAAAACAATCTTCAATTTAGCTGAACCTTTCACCTAAACATATATTTTTGTGAACAGAGTCAAGAGGGCCGAAATCTAACAGAGGAGGAACATTCATTTAATGAAATCAACCCTCTTATAGCTAGAGAAGGCCTAAGGCTCACTGCTTATGTAAAACCATGGTTTTGGTTAGACCTCCTTTAAATAACCGGCCCCAAAAATCTGTCAGCATTGCCAACGTCAAGGCCGAAATAGAATTTATTTTACATCAAGAGAATATCAACAGTTGATATTCTCTTGATATCCTCTTGTTTTAGATTGAGCGACAAATGAAATCCAGGTATTATTTCTAGTTTTCTACAAATATATTTTCATGGTCGAATCTAAGTCTCCTTATTCATCATTCCTCCATATATTTCCAATACACACCAATAGATTCCGATGGAAAACGTGGTTTTTCGATGGAATTGGCAAAAGTCTCTTTGTGACACCTTTCGTCGAATGGTGTCACGAAGAAAATTTTTTTTTAGTTGACATTTCTGACATTCATTCCGTAAGTGATCATTCGATACTGAAGTACGAAGCACTTTCTTACCATGGACGCAACTTGAGAGCCCTAAGCGACTATTTGTTACCGTATTTTCCAAGAAACGAAAATAAAAGTATGTTCTCGTTAGCCTTTAAAATCCAAGAATTTTCGATGGTATTTCCGTCATGCGGAACGGAAGAACTACGAATTCTATTCGGTCACGCCACGTAAGATTGGAGCTTACTGAACGTCATAGCCTTGAAAGTCTGATTCATGTTACAAAAAAAAGATTGTGTCGTTTATGCATGCAATAAACTTTACAGAAGATGAAGCTCTATCGGCCAAGCGCTGAGAAAAATTAACTAAAAAGAAATAAAACGTCAAAACTCGATTGATGTTTGAAACTCTTGTAAAACGTCTCGTGATTACCAATAGATTTCTGTGAACTGCATTGACCATACGAGATAATTCACTGATTATTTTCGCGATGATCACACGAATGAACGGCGGTTTTAAAAACAGATTTCTGTGAATGGCATCAATTGATTATGTGAGATAATCAACAATTCCTGTTGTGGAAAATCATTTATTTTGAATAACATGTTGAGTTAAAAGATATAAATAGACACTAATTGTTATTTCGCATCTACTTTGCCACAGTAAAATAAAACGATTTCCCTACTTTACCACGCATACTTGTAATTATCGCGTGATATATTTGAGAAAAACTCCACGGGATAAGATAGTGTTTCTTGCAAAAAATGTAAAACATACCGAACAAGTATCTGAGAATGTTTTTGTTACTTCCTACGTAGTAAAGTCTGAAGCAGGCCATGCCTAGTTAAAACTCTGAACTTTTCATGTGTCGAAGTAAATTCACAAATTATCAGATAATTTGATCCAGTTATTAAAGAAATGTATGAGAATCGCTTGGGGAACGCTTCCTAAGTTTCGCTTCTAAGTCAGAAGGCTTACATTTTGAATTTGTGTAAATCGAAAGTTTGGCGTCTGAATAGGGTCTCACATTACGTGCATGTATTTGCTACACAAGTTGAAGATACTTACATACTTCCCGAACAAGGATATGTAGCAGCAGATAAAAGTTGCATATTCCTGTCAGGAACTCCATAGGTTTTAGATTACCGAATGTCTGTTTACGGCTGCTTTCAACAAGAAAATAACCATGCATACGTATATTTGTCTCTGCGGCACGAACCCTGGGGTCGACCTCGGTTTGGTGATTTTGTGCTATGCTATGCTACGCATTATACTTAAGGAAGGCTTAAGGAGTCCGATTTAGGGACTTGTCAGAAATTAGCAGGGGGGAGGGGGGGTGGGAATTTTAAATTTGGGTTCGGAAATTAGGTGACCCATCCCTGCAATGGGAGTGAAATTTGCTAACCCTCCCCTTGAGCTTGGCCTAAAATATCATGACCCTCCCCCTCTTGTATAAATGATAAAATCTAGTTCTTGCAATACACTAGGGTGCGTCAGTATTATGAAAACTCAAAATATATTTCTAATCTGTTCTTTGTCATGCTACATACATACATTTTCGATGACAGCACTAAGAGTCCGACTGATCACTCGACTCTCCTATTTCTTCCAATACAAAGTCTTCATCACTAGAACAAGTGGGTAATGCCTCATCCCCTTCATCTACCTCACATTCATCATGATCATCCACCTCTTCCAAATAAAGAACTTCCTTTTTCTTCTGTGGGTGAACCTCTACATGATCACGGGCATATATTTGCATGACCCTCCCCTTTTAACTGCCCATTTTTCATGACCCCTCCCTTTTCTGAGGCTCAAAAAGTTGTGACCCCCCCTCTGTTTCCACCCCCCTCCCCCCCTGCTAATTTCTGACAAGTCCCTTATTTCCTTCGATCGCGGGACTTATTAAGAACGATCTTTTATGGCTAATGTGTTGCAAACTGGTGAACCTTCCACGTATATGTGAGTTCGACCAGACCTCTCACAAGATGTGAAAACTGAACTGAAACGGTCACTTCCGCTCTTTTAAGTTAAGAGCTTGATTTTTCCTGTACATTAAGTAGGGCTTTCTTGGATCTTAAAACCTTCGGATCCCGTCTGGAAAAATTTTATTTTGACTTTGAATCTCACCCAACAATTATCCAATACCACTCCTCCAAAATTCCGATGTGCGGGTCTTAAATTAGGCATATCACTGTTCCCGAAAAACCATTCTTGTAAATTTATTGAAAACAGTAAACTTTGTCCAAAAAGGTCAAAGTCTGGGTGGAATGTTAGAAGAGAAAAAGGGAGACTTAAAGCAGAAAAATAAAAAATCAAAAGAAAAAGGGGAAGACAGTTTCTAGCATACTTCTTCTCTCAGTATTTGCCCATCTTCTCATGATCAAAAATTTTAAATTCCGTTCTGTACATTTGAGACACGCAGAATCTCCAATTACGTATACAGGCTTGTCATACCTTGCGTTAGCCCGGCACTGTCCAGTCGTTTATTAAAGAAATACTTATACAAGATTTTGTATAAGTATCCAAAAGTTTCCTTTTTCCCTAACTATTAACTTGTTTTGGGTCGCACTGACGAGAGAAACTGCCTCCAGAGCGCACCACGCCTGGCAAAGGCACCGAATGCTCGCGACCTGCCATTTTCAGGCTTTCTAATCTCTATACCCTATACCATTCTAATTACATTAATTTTGCTTCACTCTTTCCTTTAATCACTGAATCTGACTTACTGATAAAATCTCATCATCTCTTACTTACTTCGGGAAACTCTGGTCGACCGACTCATAACTCTGAACGATCACTCTCTCTCTCTGATTCTCACCGACCACTTACTCTTACGTACACACATTGGTATTCACTATCCGTGGGTGAGTGGGCATGCTGGCCAACTGACCTTAAAACATTAAAAATTTGACGTCAGAACACTAACCTTAAGACTTTTACAAGCATCTAACAAAGAACAACAACTTACTTAATGCTTCCAATCAACCGGATAAATCTCTAACTGCGTCAGCCAAAACAAGAACTTTATGATAAGTGTGATTCCTTACTGTTTTATTTGGAATTATACTTGCGTAAAGCAAATTGTGGCGTGGCTCAAAGCCCAATTTTGTAATGAATCTAGTCGTTTGATCAAATGGGTGCAATTTTACTACAAGGCGTCAAAACCGAAGCGAGTCAACCTGCGGAACCTCACTTGGCCAGCGTGATCTAAAGCTCTTGCATGAAATTGAGGTGGTCCAAAATGACGTCGATAAGCTGAAACGGTCTGGCTTCGGATCGATACCTGCGGGATATCATGAAACCTGTGACACTGAAAAAGAACATGAATGGTATGCGTTCTCTACGTAGAACACAACAAGGCTGTCGCAATCAGGAAACTTATCGCGATAACTTGAACCCAAATAACTTCATATTTTGAATTCAAATTGCATCGAAATACTAGAGATAAACAAATGACTTAATCATACTGAACTACGTCCCTCCCTCATATCACTTTTCTAGAGGATTAAGGGGTTATTAATAAGAGTCTGGTGACAACATTTTTACTCTGAATATTTCATTTCTATTATTAAAATTTATAGCCCTTTTTCGAACCGATCAAAAATAAAGATTTCCTATTAAGCAATATTGTAAGTGCCCCTAAGGCACGGGTTTATCCCTTGTTTTGATTTAGTAATCGTTTAATTAATAATCTGTAAAAGTCACACTAGGTGCCTCGTCACGCGTTCCGTAAGTGGTATCGCATTTCCAAACAGAACGGATCTATTGTGCAATTCAATAATTCGATCGATTTCGCAAGCACTCGTGGTTTAATAGAAAGAAATTGTCTGTCGTTTATATCGAAGGAAGGAAAGGTCTTTTTTGTGTCAACTCTCGCCAGATCCGGCAACAATGTAAGTTTAATTTACCTCGAGTGTTTCTATAGCTAATTTCTTGTCCCTAATTTTGTGAATCAATTATTTTTAGCTTCACGGTCAAATACGACATTTAATAAAGGAGGCGTTCCATGAAAGAAATTGGGGCGATATTTGTTGTGTCGATCAGTGAGATTCGTACGGTCCAGCTAGCGGCGATCAAGCGTCGCTATAAATATAATCTCATAAAATTACCTATGGTTATCTCTAACTGATAGTGTGATTGAAACAAACTTCAGCAGCAGCTGACAGAATATTACTGAGGCATTTGCCTTCGAACGCTTCCTATCAAAATTATATATACCAAAAGTGAAGAATATATCCATCATCATAACAACATGGAGGTGAATAAACTGTTTCAATACATACTGCTTCTACCTAATAGTAGCAAAACGAATAACAAAAAAAGAAAACCTTGGTCGAATTTCTCTCAATTGCCCCCTATTCACCACGGCCTCCAAAGCCTGATACTAACTGCCAAAAGAAAGATACGCTCTACAAAATTAAGTTAATCACTTCTCTACTATTAACATACAGTGCACCAAAATTCGAGTCAAATTGTTCGAGAAACAATATTTGGAAGCTTCTTTTCAATATTGACTACCGAGAGAATAAGAATGTCTCTATTAATGAAACCGAAAATTCCACAAATTGATGTACTTAATGAATGTTACCTTTTCTTCAGTTGTCGGTTTCCTTCTTAATTATATATTTTGATGTTGTTACGCATTTATGTGCGACACAAAGCATTTTTCACAAATATAAACATTTTAACTTACGGAAAGGTCAAAATGCATTGTATCCCTTTGGTTGAAAAATGTGATACCCTAAAGCCGCTGTATTCGTCTGTGTAACGGCAAACACTCGAAATGTTTAGCAGTAACCAGCACTTAGCCATTCTACGAAATTCACCGTTCACTTATGTGGGATATATTGTACATAAGTATGTTTAAGTTCACTGTTAAGTCTTTTTTGAATTTCGTTAGATTTTCGTTAGATCGGGCCAGTTGAGTGAATCAGGTCCAAAGATGGAATTTTAAGGCTGGCCATGTGGACGTAAGTTGTCTTCCTTGAATGAAGTCATTCTGCAGCTCTGAAAGCTATGTACTCAGATGGGCTCATAGCTGTTATTGATACTTGTATGGAAGTTAATTAGATGTCTTGGGTTCAAAGCAACAATAGTGACCTGTTTGGAAGACAGATTACCGCGCCATCAGACCACGTAGGTGATGTAGCTTGCATCCGATGATTCCCTGCTGTGAGTCTGGGACCCAACGGGCTTCGACTGGTTTGGAAGTGTTTCTGGTTTTATGTCGTGCGAGTCTTGTGAAGTTCGTGATAGTGTATCTGGTCTCACAAGTTCTCCACGGACATTCCTATATGGCTGCAGGATTAAAGGGAAAAAGATCGGAATTTATGACAAAAACATGTCAACAATAATTAAGCAAATTTATGCGATATCCTACCACAACAAAAGAACTAGGGCCACTTTGACCTGGAGTGTTAGGACCCAATTGTTCGGATACAATTTAGGTGATAGGATCTAAAGAAACCTTGAAAACATTACAAGAGGCGTTTCCCTTCACGAGGATAACAGGGCTGAACAATTATCATCCCCAACTATTTCTTTATGATACGCGCAGAAAAGAAAATTGGTGTTCCTTTCCTTCATACACTCCATGTTTCATAAACTGAGTTTTACAAAGGTAAGTATGTCTCCTCTGGTCCATAGAATAGAGAAGCTTGCCGGCTAAACGCAAGATTTTGCGCAGTGGGTGAAGGAAAGAAATAGAATTTTCTCTTCTTGTTTGGCTGGTATATCATAAACATCAGAGCATCGTATGTCAAAGCTATGTCGTTTTTTACGAGAGAATCGTCTCTGTGTTTGATCAACTTCAAAGTACATGATTATTTTGGAGTATGTGGAGTAAAAGTTAACTTCGGAAATGAAGAAACTATCTTATTCCATGAACTTTACCAGTTTACTCCGCTCCGGCTGATAACGTACAGCACCGCTTGAACTGTTCCGTGGACGTTTTTCCAAAGTGAAATTAAGAGGTGATGAAGGCTCTGATTTTCCATTTTCTGCGTGGAAATAACACTAGATGTTAGTAAACTTTTCAGTTGTCAAGGCTGAAGGAAGAACAATAACACTTAGTTATCACACACTGTGTCTTCGTAGTTGCAAAGTCGGAAGTATGACTGCAAATGTGGATCGTTCCTTAATGGAAATATTTCACTTTTGTGTCATATGTGGCCATGATATCAAACGACGTCTTTATAACACTGACCCTTGTTGGTCAAGAGCCCTCACGCGACCACGGAAGGCTCCAGAAAAGAACAGATAGGCCATGGAAAAGATTTTTTAAGTTATAACACCACAGCTCGAGGTTATCATAAGATATTTCTTGACGCAGGAAATATACTCTCGAACTTCTCTCCCTTTTTTTTTTTTGAGTTCTTTAGTCGACCCCGTAGATTTAACACTTGGTTACCTACCTGTATCATCTTTTTGGGGCGTTTGGCGGTTGCTAGGTAACATTTCAATGGGGATTATTAAGTTTCTTGGCCCCTCACTTGTAGATGCATTAGCGGGGCCATCAAGATCCAAGTTGCCAGGATTATGTAGAATTGGTCCTTTAGCAGATTTGTCCTTCGCTTTGAAAGGGTCTAGCGATAAAAAAGAGTAGGTGGAAACGATCATGAACATCTTAAATTCTTTAAGGAAGATTTGTAAGTAAGACGACCCAAGTAAAAAGTGGGTAAAATAAGTAACACCAGGCAGAGGGAAATGTTTGATGCATTCGAGAAGACGTCTGCCATACACCTTTGAGTAGTAGGCTCTCCTTCCAGCACTATTAAAATGTTTAATTTTCAATTTAATCTTATTCTTTTTTTTAGTTTCAATTCATCTTACCAAAAACCGATTCAAGGGATGCAGGACTTTGTTTATCCAACTTCTTTTTCTTGTCTGGCATGGCATATATCGCCGTTGGATCAAGAGGTCCTTTGTCTTTGTCACTTCTATGTCCGTCTTGATTAGACCTCATTTCACTTGGTGCTACACTGGCTTCTTCCGCCCTGTGTACAATATGACAATCATAATTCGACATATGCATTAGGGATTCCAAGAGATGATAGACGTTGTCCTAACGTCTGTGAAGGAAAATTGGAAGATCATTGGGATGGTATGTTCTAAAATTGATGGGAGTCTCGGTGATAGCAGGTTGGCTTACGTAGCTACAGCCTACCACAGCCCTGTGGAGCACATCACAAGAGAGCATGAAAAAGCGGAGTACAGCTGACCTGAGCAAACACAACAGAACACAGCAAAGCATAACAAAGCACTGCAAAGCACAGCGTGAAAGAACGAAGCCACTCACTGCGACGCAAAAAAATTGAGTGGCCTTAGAAAAGAGAGTTGAATAGAGGTACTTATAGAGAGTACGTGAATGTAGTACATGGTGATACAGAAACCTGTCTTCCGGGGGACTTTTCCGTCGCTTCTGCCTGCCGCCTGTGGATGTACTCGGCCTTGGTTCAGTCATCATTATTCGATCTTTCTGTTTCGAGGCTTCCTCATAAGAGGGTGGTCTGTGGTAGGAGGGAAGTGTACTGCAATCTCTCTGTGGTCCTTTCGCTAAATATGTGGAGGTCACATCAAGCTCTCCTGTACTCTGCGTAAGACGGTCATTTTTGGGGAGACGGGAGCCTGATTTTAGCAGCATTTCACCTTGTGGTTGATCTGAATCTAAGATAGACAAAAAGGTGGTGGGGGGGGGGGGGGAAGAAAACAGAGAAATTTATAACTGCTTGCGAATTTGATATTTAGCAAAAACCAGATTCGACTGTAAAAGAGTATTTACACAATGATGCATTATTTGTACATAAAGAATTTTAACCTATTTTCTAAATTGACAACCTCGTGGGAAGGAAAGAAAAGAAATATAGTGTCGAGATGGCTGCAACAAGAGCCGTCTGTTTACGCGAATGGTTGATCAGGCAAACCAATTTTCCGTTTACATTAGGCACGTTAGTAACGCTTAAAAAAAACCCTAGAGAATCAACAGGTTGGGGTTCAAAGTATGGTCTGTGTCAATGTGTTGTATTTTAAGGTAAGACACGTACTTCACGCGGTACCCCTCTCCAGGCAGTTGTCTACATAACAACACAGGATAACCGGTGAATAGTCAGAGAAACCAGACGAAATATTGGGTAAAGGGGATAACTTCAACGAGCTAACATCCCATCCACAGAAAGCAGCCAACAAACCGGCTAACTTCACGCTTCAGGAACCGGAATAAACTATGGCTGCGATTTGAGTTATGTTCCTATGAAAACACTTTACATTAATTACAGCCACATTCAACGTTATCAAGAAAACTCTGTACGGTTAGCCTTATAAGGCATCATATGGATCAAGAATGTTGGCTTAAGTCTAAGTTCTCTACCGTCTGGTTGGTATCCATAGTTGACACTGGAATCTCTCTTCCTGTCCCTTCTATCGACTGAATTCTGGGAATAAGTGGACGCAGCAATGAATGGATCATCTTCAATAGATTCCCTGCTAGAGCTAGGCTTGTCAGAATGGTGGGGGCCATTCTTTACATACCTAAACAAAAAAAGAAAAAAGAAACGGACGAATGAATAAAGCGAATCACAAAAACTGGAGAATGTGTTTGACTCCAACAAAAAGGCTCTCTCCAGTATCAAATAGCTACAATCACAGATATCAAACATTGCCTTCCACCAACTTCAATTTGTATGAAGTAAATGATGTATAACAAAGTAACCTCAAGAGTGTTCTTATCAGCGTGAGATCCTGCTCACCAAATGAAATTCGCCTTTGAAAGTGGGAAATTGACCCTTTAACGCCGCCAATGTCACTCTAGCTAAGCGACCTGGCCGTACTTTTCATCTCTTAGTGATCCGTTTGATCGCTTATTTGGAGCTACACAAACGTAATCAGTTGTTGATTGCGAGCCAAACGTTGTAATTACCGCAATTTGGTGCGTCTGTTAGTGAATTAATAAAACTAGTCGATCAAACCCGGTAACCAACTTTACCTTACCTGTAAAAAGCGAAAGCAGATTTGACAGCGCTCTTTCGCATGAAAAGTATCACAACAGAAAAAAGTAAAATTTACCTCGAAGTAGTCGACATGTCAACGGCTTCATCTTGAAAGAAAGCAAAAAGAAATGTATAAGTATTTGTTAATATGACATGCCCGTTACTATCATCAGATTAAACTATGTTACATCGTAAACTCGAAGAAATTATTCATAATAAAAAAGAGGTCTGAAAGTAATTAGCATGAAGCTCATGTGGTCGTGGAGTATCAGCAAAGGGAAACCATCTCTCGTATTGTCACCCAAAGTAAAGAGAAAACCAGGCACAAACTTAAGTCGCGTTTCTCTTAGCTTTTGATATAATCGACACCAACTTGATTTATACAAGTACATTGGACATGTATGTTCAACGTCGAGGAAAGCAGCTTTGACCGGGTAGCGGCTTTTACTTTCACATGAACCTTCGGGGTAGGGGGTGGGAGATGATAATTAAAAAGATTTCAAAATCGCGGGAGATGAAACGATAGTGGTGTCAGTGTTACACTAATGGTAATACTTATAGCGTGATTTTCTTACCTCCGGAGCCCTTCTTCTTCTTCTGAGTTTTACTGATCCAACAAAGTAAGAATATAACGACAAAGAGGAGGACAAGACCAGAAGCACCAGCTATAACAGCAATCATCCAATCTTTAAGACCTTGGTTATCCCCGCTCTGAGCAGGGAGTTCGGAAGGTACAGCGGATGCTGAGGAAAGGAAGTAATGTAAATGTAACTAATGTAAAGCTGAGGCATTCAATTTAATGCAAGCACAAACAAGTTTAAATTCACTGGCTAGCGAATGTAAAGAGTCACGAGTCGCAAATCACAATGCTGAAAAAGGTTAAGTAGCCAAAGCTTTCAGCAGTTTTTCATGTTTTCTACTTTTAACATTACTATATCTGACAGAAGAAAAAAAAATCGTCCATCATGTAGTGGTTTTTAAAATTGATATTGTTGGCCACACTTCGGAATATCCTGGCAAATATAATTACGTCAGGAGCTTGCCTTACCAACGAATCGATTCCCCTCCGGAGACAATAGTGGCATCGATTTATCTATACTTGTAAGTTATCAACTTTAAAAGGTGATTAAAAAAATTATAACACACCACATCTTACAGCAACTAATAATGTCCTGGACTGGTCCTAGTCATATCCTCGCTTTTCATTCCTACTTACATGCATTTTCAGTAGTTTTTGTGCCATACGTTGAGCTGTTGGGTCCTTCAGTTGGCCTTCCGGGTCGCCAACCTACTATTTCTGAAGCTTTCACACCCAACTCTTTCAGCCCTCCATTCTCTGCAGAATCTTTTAGCATTGAAAGCACCTTCTCCTCTTTAACAGAGGAATTGAACTTCAAGGCCAAATCAACAATCACGCTACCACACCTAGGAGGGTCAGAACAAAAACAAGAATTTAAAAACAGGTCTACTTATAAGAACAGCTGTAAATCCTAAGACTTTCTAGTATCTCAGGGTAACTGGCTGCAAACCTTAGGCCCCTTTCTCGTGCATCCTCAATGCAATAAGTTCAACAGAGGACTGAAAAATAACCTGCACACATTTCGTAAAGAGTAGGGTAGGAATTCCAGCTATTGTAATACATCATGTTTTTGCCTGAGTCACAGTAAGTCCACAGCAACATCTTTCTAAATACATAAAAAGGACAGATTACCCAGGTAATAATTCATTTCGCCTACATACCTGTAATTTGTTAATTCTGTGCTCCTGTATCCTTCATTTTTAAATAGGTCTTCGATCTACAAGAAACGATAGCAAAATTATACAGTGCGAATCCCATATGCACATCATCACCGTTCTGCTGAATAAAGGTATCTATTTACGTGTGTGGTGGTGTCACATGCCTAATAGTTACCTTTTGTTCGAGGTTCTTCCACAACACGGATTCAGATAAATTTTCATCAGGACACTGTTCACTGATGAAAAGTGTCACATTTATCACATTGCCTGCTATAACTGTTTGATAAAACAAACAAGCAACATTAGTTTAAAGCTGTGTTATGCTACTGGAGGCGACACAGCGGCAACAATGGAAGTCAAGTGAGGTCTTTTTCAAAGAAAATAAGCGGGAAAATTAAGACACCGAGTTAACAACTATGTCAGCTATTTCAGTCTTGCTGAGCCTCGTCAGCATGGTATGGCTAGCATGATGACTTATGGGTTTCCACAAAGAAAGATATGACTGATTATGACCCCGTGAAATCTTAATCATTTCATAATATTAGCTATTCCAGTGCTTGGCTGAGTATGATTCAACTTTCCTTGAATATATATAATTATTTGCAGGTGATGATCAGGTTTAAATACATGTAGGAACAAGTTGCATTCAGTGATCGTTTGTTATACCAAAGGAGATCTGTGAAGTTGTTATTAAATTTTCATAAAGGAAGCTATGTAAAAATTCCTCATAACTCTAAGTTAGCATCGCTTAATTAAAACTTACCAACTTTGGTCTCTCTTGTATCATTACCCAAAACATTTGCCACATTGCAAGAGTACACAGCGTCGTTAAGAGCGTTGGAAACAGTAAGTGTGCTCTCATGACATGCTTGGGTCTTTGAATCACAAGGGAACCACGTGTAAGCAGGCGGAGGATTTCCTTCGGCTTCGCAGTGAAGACGCACACTTCCTTGTACTGCAACGTGATGTTCGCTAGCAAGTTTAACAACCTTAGCAGAATCTAAGTAACAAAAACAAGCAGAGAAGAGTAAAAATAATCCACTTCAGCTAGCGTCTGCTGTTAGGATGAATTACCGACGCTGATTAACTTTTGTAGTAAACAAGATCACAGTAAAACTGGCCGAACATTTGCCATATTCCTTTCACCTATCTTTGACGAGCAACTTTTCAGTTTCTGTATATGTCGTCGAAACGTCAGTCCTTGACGCTGACAACAGTACTTTTCACAAATGCTTTCACCCGGTCAAGAGGTTTTTGAAGTACCTTATTAAAGATATTTATCACTCATACTTCTTGAACGTCAACCAAGGCATTTTTTGGTTTACCAGTTGTTTTGGGAGACGGAAAAATAATGGGAATTAAAATTCTCAATGCTAATCAAAGCGGTGACAAGGTATGATACACCTACAGGTAACATTGACTTTTATCAGCCGCCACACTGGATTTCCAATTCCATTGTCAGCTGTACAGTTGTATAAACCAGAAGCAGTTCTGTTAATTTTTGTTAAATTCCAATGGGTTCCATGATGCAGCACTTTACTATCGTTACTATTTTCAAGCACTTTGGTCCACGTTATGTTTGGGGTTGGATTACCAAATGCTTGACATAACAGTTGAAGATAAGATCCTTCTTGCACAGTTTGGTGGTCGCTAACATTGGCCATGCTCGCCGCATCTGAAAATAAATCACATTTTACTAGGTAGAAAAAGTAGAGAGAGAACAACTAAACTATCGTTTAAGTCAAATCCACACGTTGCGACCGCGCTTATTTAACACAAAAATTAAAGAACACCATACGAGAAAGTTATATAACAAGCTGTCTGGCAAAAGCTACGTATATATATAATGATCCTAAATTGACAGCGACAAGTATCACCCAAAATGTAGACGTTGTCACTTTCTGCAGGAGGAAGACAAAGAATTGAGCAACGACGACAACAAAAAAATGAATGCAGAAAAGAATCGACAGTAACGATAATGATGTCGATGACCTTTACGATAATGACGAAGCAAAAAGGATAACGATAATCACAATCACAATAATGATGATCCATCCTAATGAAGTTGCAACTTACGTTGGTTATGATACGCATTATACTGAGTAAAAAACACCTTGGTTTTAAAGATATAGGCTACATCTTACATGACCAAACACAGCTTTTGTTTGTTTGCTTACAATGTACTGTGAGCTCCATGATGCTGGAGAGCGTGTTAAGTTCGTTGATGTCCTCCCTGAGGGTTTTAACATCAAATCTATATCTTCCTCTGTCTGATCTTTTCAGTCCAACAATTGTTATAGACGCCATAGTATCTTGTATATAATCCACATGAAAACGAGGTCTATAAGCTGTATGTACGATTGGTGCAGTATTTAACACTTTCTCTGCAATGGTTTTTTCCCCGCTGCTAAGATTAGTAAATTCTGCTCCTCGAAATAACGACGCTAGGCCGAGTGTTTTCATATAGGTCCACCGAAGGGTGAGGTTGTGACGTTCAACAGCAACAACAGATAACGGTCGCTCCACCCAATTCAGATGTCGTTCTGGCAAAAAAAAACCCCAAAATCGTCAATTCTAAATCAATTTAAACCGCCATTCTTCCCATACGTCAGACTATTGCACCTTTAAAGCGGAAATTGCACATGGTTCTACTTTTAATGTGACGTACACTCCCAGTTAAGACTCTTTGACTCTAAAGGAGATAATACAAAGACCATTGCCTTACCGGCGAGGTTATAAGAATGTTCTAAAGCTGGTTTTTGGGTTTTGCTGTTTTGCATAGTTTTGGGGCACTTGGGGTCATTTTAAGAAAAATTGGGCGCTTTTTCTGTCAACTTTCTCAGACATGCGAACAGCTATGCGTGCTATAACTGTAGCTTGCTGATCACTCCGGGTAACTCTAGACCCCATAACATTTTGGTGGGGCTACCAGCTACTGTAACTATAAAGGGTCTTGACTGTAGATCAAAAATAGGAAATCCTTCCAAAGCTCGACACTGGGTTTGAAAGTTGGGTCATGGTAATAGTATATCTTGGGACAGATTGAATACAGAGGGGAAGTACGGATACCAAAACCAGACATTTTTATCAAAGAGACACAGTTGGGATGGTTGGTAAATTAAACAATAAAAAGTAACGAGAGTGATTTAAGACTGGAGTTTTACACAATGCGTCGGATGCAATAAGATGGATATCACCGAACTGACACTTACTTGTAAAATTCACGAGAATACTGTAGGTCCAAGAGTTACTTTGCGTGGAGAGCTTGCATTGGAAAATCGCTCGTTCATCCTCAGTCACTTTTTTTAATATCAGGGTGGCCACATTACTATCGCTGATATTAAATCGCGTCCTGTAATTATTTTTGTTATATATCACAATGTCATTGTCAGCATGGTATATAACTCCAATGTCATTCCAGCTGCTGCCATCATTGATGGAAAAAGTTGTTGTCCTCAGATCTGAACCTTCTGACAAAGTGTAATTCCAACTGAGATGTATGTGGGTGCTGCCCTTCAATACTTGAATATCAACTGTTCTGATGTCATTTGAATCCGTTTGGGTCCAACTTGGGGCTGGTTTTGTCCACAGTACTGTAGTGGCTACAACATTTTGAAGTAAGACATAATCCTTTTAATTTATCATACAGAGAAGAGTAACGGTTACCCTCCTTAGAGGGTAACCATATTATTATCCCTTTCACACCCAAGATCTCATAAGGACTGAATTCTCCTTATTGTTTGCCTTACGTCAGTTTGGAAAATTGAATTTTGGATCAATTAAGGAGAAGGAGAAATTCTGTCTTAATCACTCATGAGAGTTAAAGGGTAAACACACTTCTTTTTTCAATTGACCTGTTTACAAAGCAACTTGAAGTAATCCCAATGCTATGCTACCCAAGCTGACAGATACAATAACGGTTATGGCAGTGCCAAGGGAGCCCTCTTTTCCCTCTAAGTACTCGTTTTTCCTGTCTCAGCTGCACGAACGTAAAATTGACATTAACAGTAAGAGTGTTCCCACCAATATAACTTTTCACTCACTCCAAATTTTGTTTATCCTGAACTAAGAGGTAACTGTTCTTTGAAGAATGGATTTAAACTGAATAACCCTAAATCACTTATTTTTGCAAAATATTCGATCACTTCTAGTTACTTTTGTTAAAATATTCGTTCGCTACATTTCTAGAATGGTGTAGTTTGATTTCCATGAATCTTGTGTTAGCAGAGGGGTGGTAAAATTATTGATCTCTAAACTGCTTCCTTTTTGTAAGCCAAAGTAGCAGCCACTTTTAAGATATTACGTAATATCACTGCACGCCCAAAATTTTATCTACCATTTTGAGAACTTTATACAATATGACTTCTTACCAAAAGCCCCCACCCCTTCCCCCCAATAAGAGATGTTCTTGTCAGTCCAGCAATTGTTTTTCAATTTCAATAATAAAAAATTCACAAATTTAAGGTGAAAATTATCGTAAGAGTGAAGGAAAATATGAAGCCGTTACTGAAAGAACGTTTCAAGACGGGCAGGGGTTAAAGAATAAAACACTTAAGAAAACATTCATTAGCAGGAAGACTAATTTTGCCCTTAGAGGAGAAGAAGGAAAAGAAAAAACCAACTTTCTCGTTTGTAACGATAGCTTAGTAATTTTAGAATTTTTAGTAGAGAGAAGAATGATTTGTGATAAGAAGTTGAGGATGTTGTTCCTTCCATTTTTCTTTCAAGTTGAATATAACTGAAACTATGCTTTACAAATAAAAGCGACGACATCGTATTCAACTTGTATTTAACTAAAGAGGTACGGCAAGAATCACGACGGCAAGTTATTCGACGTTTATCGCGTGCGATTATCTCAGACTGCGAGAGGTGTCGATCGAGGGGCAATCAGTAAGATCTAGAACACTTTAACAACGACAAAGAGCCTTTCATAAATGGGAAATTAAAATAGCCGGTTTTTCTTGATTAGGCACACTTAGAGGGTGACGTTGCAAAAATTAATATATCTATGAATTAAAATAAAGCCATTTTCTGGCAGAAAAAGC